TGTTACACTGTGTACCTATGCTGCTGTATTTTACCCAATTTTTGAAAAGTAAAGAATGCAAAAAAACTGATTATTACATTAGACAATTCATTTTATATTAAAATTTCATATAAGCTTCAATATATATATATATATATATATATATATATATATAATATATATATATATAAGCGTATATGAAATTTTAATGATTGGGTTTACATATACTTTACTATACTAAAGTAATACTAAAGTAATTTACACAAATACAAGTCTGCAGATCTTTCCGGCTGCCAAATGTGGAGAACATAAGAAATGGCGCATTTTTAGTTTGGTATTCTTGTATTCAGGTGCCTCGTGTCTGCAGGGCAAATTAGGCTTTTGCTTTCCTTGCCTAGAGGCAAATGAGAACTTGTGTCTAAAATATTCTTTTAAAAACACAGTATTGATTCTAAGTCGTTACACTTTGTGTAGCGCTTGTTCCTTTCAACCTCGAGAAGGCTGACAGATTTAATGAATTATGTAGCCGGGTGAAAAACAGAATCCCCCAATGTTTATTCATTGCACAAATGTCTCAAAGAAGTGTGGAATAAGACTGTCTTCTCTGACATATCCTCACTGTGTAAATGTTGGTTAAAGCCACCCCGTCTTATTTTTAAGTTAAATCTGAATGACATCAACATTATACGAGCAAAGTCACACTTTAATCTTGAGCAGATTAAATGAAAATACATCAAAGAACTTAAAATTTAGGACCAAAGTCTATCCGGCATTCTTAGGTGTTAGACACTAAGGTGTCAGAGACTGTTGTAGTTGATTTAAGTTCTTCTGTCTGTGTGTGTGACTGCTTATTTTAAGTAGAACTCAACTCAAAAAAAAATTAAGGACTATGAAAAGATTAATAATAATAACCATAATAACAACTTTTGTTGCAAAATTCACCTGAAATCTAAAGCCGTCCCTTGCAGTACTTCTTGCCACTAGATGTCCTCAGTCTTCCAGATTTGAATGATGGCAAACATCATTTACCCCACTTCTTCTGAACCCAGGTTCTCGCAGGCCTGCCCCCAGCCCATGACTTGACAACAAAAGTAGAAGCAGAAAAGTGATAAGCTTATCTCTCTGTCACTCTGCTTTCTCCTCCAATCAGCATACTCCTTGTCCACAAAGGAACTGATTGGCTCCGTTTGCTGCTTCTTTGTCCCACAGTCTGTGCCCTGCTGCACATAGTTTGCAAAAAGCTGATACCAAGTCAAATTCTGCATTAAAAATATATTCAGTGATGTAGTAATAGATACTGAGCTGCATTAATTAGTGTGTTTTCTATCTGCCCAGAAGTCAGCGTTAAAATAAAGTTGTGATATGAGAAATGCAGGGGCTGTCATTGCTGGCCTTCTTCTGAATATGTTATTTCCCTAGCTGCTATGATGACCTTCTGACTTTAGTATTTTCTGAGTCACTGATTTAGTGAGTAAATCAGGTAACTCAGACTTGATGCAGATGCAGAGTTGGGACAATGACTTCATGTTTTCAACCTTGTCCAATCAGAGAATGCTTTGCATTAAATGAAAAAAATCCAAAGCATTCTCTGAATGGTACCCATGACCTCTTGTGTTCAGAATGCAGCAGGACAGCCACTCGGCATGGGGCCTGGAAGCTAATGGAGATCACTTTAGTAAGATGTCTATGGTAGTGATTTCTGTATATGTATAGTTACATTGGTTAAAACTGGAACAATATACAGTAGCTATGTAAAAATATGTATACCTGAAATTCATCTTTAAGTGATACCCCTTTGTTGGCTGTTAATGGTGAAGTTAAGACATTGCAATGTTTACATATTTGTAGGCAGGTACAATCTGTTTCCACCACTGTATGTGGCACTTGACCAAGGGCGGAATGACAACTCATGGGGCTCCCGGGCAATAGGGGATCATGGGGCCCGTGTCCTCACCCACATTCAAACCACACCCAAAAAAGCCTATGACAGGTACCTCATGGGGCCCCCTACTGACCCCGGGCCCTCGGGCAGTGCCAGAGTTTACACATGGTCAGTCCAACCCTGCACTTGACCGAAACTGTACAACCGCTGTAGAAAAAATCAAGAGAAACTCGGTTTCTCTATGGTCTCCTTGGTCCCCTGAAGCAGTAATCTGGTTGTCTATGCTGCATCCAGGTGATTCTGGTGGCCATCCTGGGTCAAACAGAGTCTTCCTAAATCCCTGCCACCAGTTTTTGCGAAGTGGCTAGTGCAGGTTGAGTACACCCATCTGCCAGGGACAACACTAGCAGTAGGGAAAGGTTTCAGAGGAGTATGAAAAGAGTGTCTACACTTTTGCAAGTTCCCTCTTGGGTTGGACCAACCACACCACTCTCCACCTTCCTCAGCTTGGGCCTGCTACTGCTGACTCACCACTGCATTGACTGGGTTCCCAGACAGGCGTTGTAACTGTTCAGCAAGTTCTTCAATACATTGGTTTTTGCATTCAGGGCCTCAGTGTCATCACTGTCGTTGCACCTACCCCACACTGTTACATTGACCTAGATTGGACCAATCTAAGTATGTATGTGCCATACCAACAGTTGTAACTGTTCAGCAAGTTCTTCAATACATTGGTTTTTGCATTCAGGGCCTCAGTGTCATCACTGTCGTTGCACCTACCCCACACTGTTACATTGACCTAGATTGGACCAATCTAAGTATGTATGTGCCATACCTGTTGGATCATTGTGGAGGTTTGAACTCACTGTAGTAGGCACTACTAATCTATTTATTTCTGCTAGCTTCTGGGGTCTGTGCCAATTGTGATGATACCACCCCACCTCTTCTGCCTATCTCGAAAGCTTGCATATTTAACACATTTTAGCCAGTAAAGGGTATCACTGAACTTCAAACTGTCTTAAAGAAACAATAATAATTAATAATCATTATCAGGAATCATCTTCAGTCTTCATCTGATTACATCTTAAAAATGTTTAATTTCATAATATACAGAGTACCAGATTATCAAAGCAGGTTGAACCAACCATCTACTCTTACTCAATATCAAAGCTGAATTTTAGTTAGCTGCCTCCTGAACAAAATGTAATGTCAAAGTAAAGGAGGTCAAGTTAATTCATCAGCCCGGATTCTTGACACAGCTGAGATATTTAATTAAATGTGGCCATTCAAAGCGTATTTTAATTGAACTGTAATGTATATCAGGAAAGTAAAGCTATTAGAATTTAAAATTGTTGAACCGTAGCTAATCATTTATTTAAATGGAATATGACTATAATTTTCAGGTAAGCACTCGTATATTATAATATCCCATGATATAATGGAAGATTTATTTGCAAGTCCCCATCTGCGCTAATGAAAATAGCGTATGGGATATTTTCTCTTCCTCTTTCTAGGGTTTCAGTAAGTAACATCTTCATGAAAACAGCTTGCTGATTATTTAGTGCTTAGTAGATTTTATCCTGGCATTAGAACATCTCCGTCAATCAAAACTGTTCTGTGGGGATTCAATTACCAAGAACTTTGATGCAAAAAGTTAGGTGCCAGCTTTCAGTTGTGAACAAACATTGATGCATTCACAACACGCAAAGCAGAGGATCAATCCATTTAATGTCATTTACCCTGCCTGCCTGTTAATCTTAAAGGGAAAATGAATTAATATATAGTTACATAGTTGGTCTGGCTGAAAAAAGACAAAAGTCCATCCAGTTCAACCATAAGAAAAAAAAAGTTATAATCCTGTACCCACAGTTGATCCAGAAGAAGGCAAAAAAACCCCCAGCAAAACATGATCCAATTTGCTCCTGCAGGGGAAAAAATTCCTTCCCGATCCCTTGATAGGCAATTGGATATTCCTGGGTAAACTTTACCTATAAATGTCAGTAACCAGTTATGTCCTGTGTATCCAAGAAAATCCAGGCCTTTTTCAAAACAATCCACTGAGCTGGCCAGAATCAACTCTTACTGTGAAGAAACCTTTCCGCATTTGGAGATTAAATTTCTTTTCCTCCAGATGTAAAGAGTGCCCCCTTGTCCTCTGTGATGACCTCAGGGTGAATAACTCTACACCGAGTTCACTATATGAACCACTGATGTATTTATACATGTTGTTCATATCCCCCCTTAATCTCCTCTTTTCAAGAGAGAATAAATTCAGTTCCTCTAATCTTTCCTCATAGCTGAGCTCCTCCATGCCTCTTAACAGTTTGGTTGACCTTCTCTGTATTTTCTCCAGTTCCCCAATGTTCTTTTTGTGAATTGGTGCCCAAAATTGAACTGCATATTGCAGGTCTTACTAATGATTTGTACCGGGGTAAAATGATATCTCTCTGGAGTCTATACCACTTTTAATACAAGAGAGGATTTTGCTCACTTTAGAAACTGCAGCTTGGCATTGCATGCCATTATTAAGCTTGTGATCTACCGGAACTCCCAGATCCTTCTCCACCATTGATTCCCCCAGTTGTACTTCCCCCCAGTATGTATAATGAATGAATGTATTTAATTAATTCATTCATTGTTTTGAGTGAGCACATCTGGGTATTGCTCACATGGTTACTGTCAAAGGGCCTTAGACTGGTGCACCACACCAAAATGTTGAAATCCAAAGGGCAGTTCTTCAGCTTGAGTCCCCCAACAGCCGGTTTAAGCCCTGATAAAGGTGGTGGAGGTGAAATGCACCTATCAGTGAGCTCTGATTGATCTGAAAAGCCTCTAATCTCAAATGCACCAGAAAACAAACTGTGCTTCCCCAATAACACACACCCAAAGCCCATCAACATGGGTCTGTAGATTTAGCAACAGCAATGTAGTGCCAGAGTTTTTTGTCTAGACAATCTATCAAATTTTCATCAAATCATATAGTCTTTTGTACTACATGGCTGTTGACAAACTTAAAGAAGATTGTACAATTGGATTAATATGTCTGACCAACTTAAAGTGTATGTAAATGCTAACAATTCATTTCATTTATTTCTGTAGCTGGGTGCTTAGCTAGCTAAAATGACCAACTATATAGGCACCATGCTGCAGCTGCATTTGTGCTCACACAGGACTCCCATGCTGACTGTCAGGAATGGACTTGCCAATAGTGGTGGGACTCACCTGCCTTGTGGGCTGCAGTACCAGGGCTGGCCAGCGGGTGCTCTCAACAACCAGAGGTTCACTTCGGCAATTAGCCATCACCTGGGGCTGATTGCAGGTGGTGTATTTAAGGGATGGCCAGACCTGCAGTCTGGGCCTTGGTGTGTGTTTTTCCATGGGCCCCTGTACCTTGTAACCTGCATTCCTGTTCCTGTTTCTGCCTGACTTGTTGCCGACCCTGCCTGATCCTGACCTCTGCTGACTTCTCCTGTTTGATCCCTGGCTTGTGACCCTGACCATTCTCTCCGCCTGCTCCTCTTGTACCTACCTGCCCCATAGTTATCGACCTGGCCTGCCTGACTACGTTGTGCTCTATATGTGTATGTACCTGTGTATCTATACCAGTTTAGGTTTGGGTTTGTTTCACCTTGTTGTATGTATTTGTGTTAGCTTGGGGTTTGGTGCACAGCGTTTATGTTTGTATTGTTAGTCTGAATAAATTGTCTTGTTTATACCATATCTGGAGCCTGCGTTTCCCTGTGTCAGTACGCACATCTCTGGTCACACCCGCATCCCTGACACTGACTTAGTCAGTGCTGTTCTGCCTTCATCCACTACAGGGAGCCAGTGGGACATGAAGGATTGCAAAGACTACTAATGCAGACACCACTGGATGATGTGAGATGTAGATGTGGAAACAGATGGAAACAGACTACACTCCCCAGGGGAGAGGCATGTAAGGGAAAGAGAGAGAAGTTTTCCTGGGCAGTGAAAATAAAAATCTTCTTGCTGCGAGGGGACTGGAGCAGATACATCTCCACTTGTTGTGTGGGACCAACAGAAGAGCCTCATCCCTCAGCCAGAGACTGTGACTAAAGCAATTGGGAGCCGGAGCTCAGGGAGAGGACTGGAACCGAGTGCTTAAAGGAGTTCCTGTTTCCCAGTAGACTCAGAGTTTGCCGTGTATGCAGGATTGGTGAGTAGCCACTTGATTGGGGTTTGCATTACCACAGCTGGCAGAGGGAGACTGAATTTTATTAAGGAGCATTAACCATTGTATGCAGAATCTTAAATGGACAGTAATTAAGTGCGCCACCTCACAGACTGGGCCCCACAAAATAGTGTCAGGAATGGACTCACCACAGGTGGTGCTGGAGCTCACCTGCCTTGTGGGCTGCAGTACCAGTGCTGGCCAGCGGGTGCTCTCAGCAGCCAGAATCTCACTCCTGCAGTCAAGCCATCACCTGAGGATGATTGCAGGAGGTGTATTTAAGCAGGACCAGGCCTGCAATCAGTGCCTTGGTGTTTGTTCTCATGAGCCCCTGTACCTGCATCCTGTTTGCTTCCTGCCTGATCTTGACTCTGCTAGAACTCTGCCTGCACTGACCCTGGCTATTCCTGACCATTCTCCTGCCTGCTCCTTTGTACCTTGTCTACCCGATAGTTACCGACCCGGCCTACCTGACTACGCTTGTGTTCCTGCACATATTGTGATCTGTTGGAGGCTTGGTTTTTGCACTGTGTGTTTGGATGTACTGTATAGTCTTTAATAAATTATATTGTTTTACACCATACTTGAAGCCTGCGTTTCCCTGTGTCAGTCCACACATCTCTGGTCATACCCGGAACCCTGACATAACACCAAGGCCAATCCTGACCAGAAGTGGCTGCACAGGGAAGCCATCTTGGCTTGTTGTTTGGGAAGGATGCATCTGGAGGAAGTTGTGTACTTTTCTCTGCTAGCAATAGAAGACAGAGAATACTGTTGTCAGATTCTGAAGAAGTATGCCAGGGATCAGCTGCTAGAGTGCATGCAAGTTGCTCATTCACTAGTAGATCAGGGCACGGAGTTTTGAGGTGCAGCCATTGATCCAAGCTTGTGCTGAGTTGGCTTTATCTAGTACCCCTGAAAGCAGGGATGACTTTTTTCCACCATTTAGTGAAGATCAAGTAGAGTCACTGGTATGGTTGTTGGAGGATGATCCAGATTGCTTCCTTGAGCATTATTCAGCTTGTCCATCACATGTACTTGTGGATTGTATAAACGCAGTGCAGTCTTTGGTCAGACAGGCTATGTGTAAGCTAAGCTTTGTTCAACCGGTATTACAGACATGGTCAGATTTGTTACACCCAGCCTCAGTCAGCTTGCAAAAACCCAGTCCTGCTTCTAATCCATTTTTTCAAAGCTCTATTCCTGCATTCCCGAAAGCACCTCAAGTTCCAGCCCAGTATACCCTGCTATCAACCACATGTCAGTACCCTATTCCCACTCGCTGCACCTATCCTGCTTTTAACCCTGTAAAAAAGCCCTCTGTAGCAACTGCTCACTCCTCTGTTCTATCCTACAGCTCTTCTCTGTCTTCAGCTGCTCCCTCCGTTTACAGACCTGCATTTACTTACAGTGCTTCAGTAACTAAACCCAAGAAGAAGCGAAAATTCTTTCCAATGAGTACCATCCTGCCAGTATCCAAATCGGTCAGCCTGCCATCTGAGAACCCGCCTTCTGTTGTCCAGCCTGATGACCCGATCCTGCCAGATGACCCGATCCTGCCAGATGACCCGATCCTGCCAGATGACCCGGTGCCCACTGTCCTGCCAGATGACCCGGTGCCCGCTGTCGAGCCTGATGCATCGGGGCCCGCTGTTCAGTCTGATGCCCTGATACCTGATGACCCAGTGTACGCCACCCAGCCTGATGATCCTACCCGGCCTGATGATCCTATCCAGCCTGATGATCTGGTGCCCGCTACCCAGCCTAATGCCCTGGTGTCCGTTATCCAGCCTGATGCCCCCGGTGTCCGTTATCCAGCCTGATGCCCCCGGTGTCCGTTATCCAGCCTGAGGAACCGATAACTACCACTCCGCATGATGACCTGGTGCCCGCTGCCCAGCCTGACGACCCGGTGCCCGCTGCCCAGCCTGACGTGCCTCTGTCCGCTGCCCAGCCTGATGTGCCTCTGTCCGCTGCCCAGCCTGACGTTTCTCTGTCCGCTGCCCAGCCTGACGTGCCAGCTCCTGATGCCCAGCCTGCTTCTGGAAATCCTGTGTCCAGCAACCTGCCTTCCTGCGGTCTCCTGCAAAAAGATAGGCCTATCAGCAGGAGACCAAGCCAGTCACTTGATTCCGGCAGTGGGATGTCCAACCAGTTACCGGACCCAGGCGGTGGAACATTTGGGCCATTACGGACTGTTTTGCGCGTCCTGAGGCCGCTCCTTGTGGGGGGGGGGGGGGGGGGTTGGGGTACTGTCAGGAATGGACTCACCACAGGCACCGTCACATGGGACAGCACTGACCAATCAGAAACTGTCTACCTGCCCTGTCTGTTAAACCCAAATTAGGGAATGTAATTGGTATTTTCTGAAGAATCTACCTGCTTTCTCTTAAATGCTTATTTTTTGTGAATTTATTATAAGATTCTTAGTATGTGACCTTTTATGACTGCCTATATCTCCTCCCACTTTTATATTTGTGTTCAGTCCAGAAATGTCTCACTCAGGGGGTGCTGTAAAATAATTACACTTTTATAGATATTTATATTAAAGATGTCAAAAAGATTAGAGTCAGTTAATAAAGATGAAGAAAACCATGGGAATTCTGAGCACAGAGGCACTATTGATGATCAATGAGAAAAAAAGCATCCAAGAAGTGCTAAGACATTGATGTGAGATCATACAAAGTACTGAGAGGACAATAACATTTGTTGAGCTCACGGACTCAGGTTAGGCTGCTCACAACAGACAAAGCTACCCTCCATTGGGTACTCCAGCAGGTTAGCAGAAAAAAAAAAAAATGGAATGGAGAAGCCAGACCAAAGGATAAAAGAGTCCAAATGAATGTATTAGTTTATATTAAAAAAAAAAAGCCAACTCATTTCGGGGGTCAGAAAAACCTGCCCCTTCATTAGGACTACAACAAAACGCAACATAATGTATATGCCAATGTGACTGATTATAATTATATACAATCATGTATATCATGGAAATGTAAATTTGCTATTTTTTTTTATGATTGTTAGACTTATCAGTCACATTTATATTTACATTACATTGGGAAGGATTTACTAAAAAAAAATTGATTGTACATCTTGCAAGTGCAGTTGCACAAATTTTCCATAGAACTTAGTAAATGTGGTAAGGTTTCACTTTATAAAGAACACCCAATCATGTACAGAAAAAAAACCCTATTTTCCCTTTCACATGATTGGATGATAGAAATCATCAGAGGTTCCTCTCATTTACTAAGCTCTGGGGAAAATGGGACTGCAAAATGCACAGTCTATTTGTCTTTAGTAAATCAACCCATTGTGTTTTGTTGTAGCTCTGAGGAAGGGGTAGTTTTTTAAACCCCCAAAACGCAGGATTTTTTTTTTTTTTTTTTTGGAATAACTAATAAATAATTTTGGACTCTTTTACCCTTTGGTCTGGCAATTCTTTCATTAGTGCACACTATTGATAATCACACCTAGATGACACGGATGTCTTGTCTGCTTCATAATATATTAAAAAAGCTATATAGCTACAGCTTTGTCTCTCTTTCTGTGTATATATATATATATATATATATATATATATATATATATATACACACACACACACACACATACATATATATACACATACACATATATATATATATTACACACACATATATATATATATACATACATACATACACACACGTGCTGGAGAAGGCTTTTGTGTGCAGTGGACAGCCCATAGACCCAATACATCAAGAGATCAAACCAACTAAGTCACTAGAAGCCCTTATGATGAAGTTGTGACTAGCATTTTGGTCACACTATCAGAAGAGAGAGATCAATGAAGAAGGAAATAATGTTTGGAAAGATCAAAGGAACCAGGCAAGGTGGGAGACCGACTACTAGGTGGTTGGACAGATCGACTACAGCTGTAAGGATGACACTGGAGGATCTCACAAGACTAGCACAAAGCAGACTTCTATTTACAGCTCTTATTCATCAAGTCGCTGGGACTCATACTTGGGTTGATGGCACTTAATAATAATAATAAATATATATACAGTATATATATATATATATATATATATATATTTTATATATAGATGGTTGTATAGAGATGGATGTATAAAACTGTAATTTTACAGTGGTTGTTGGAGGAATGGACATTCCATGTTACCATGTAGAGAGACGTCAACAAGAAAAGCTTTTTCTCCATAAAATTCCCTATTATCTGTAATTTTATTCCCAGCACTGTATAGTAACCTTTACCTACCTATCTACCTTTTTTTTTTTTCAAATGAATGACACTAAACATTATTTTGTTTTATGTATTTCTTCCCAATTAGCAATCAGAGTTGTGTTGACACCTGTCACGGACTATACTGTAAATGGCAATTATTTTTTTCACATATTTCACAGAATCAGAAGGGCTTACCATTTTTGGCTTTGCAGGATCTGTTGTCCAACTGCATTAAATACCCTTCGACACAACTGCATGTATAAGAGCCTTGTGTGTTTCTACAGGTCTGACTGCAAGCGCCATACATTGAACATTCATCGACATCTGGAAGAGAGCACAGCAGAACAGAGATCATAATCCAAAAACAGGTCCTGCTTAAGCAAGAATATAAGACAGTATCTTCTAAATATGCCATCATAACCATTGTGTGCAGTCCTTGATATGTAAACAGACAGATCTGAGAAGGACAAACAAGTAGATGTATGTGAGAAAGATGAATTCATATAGGGAGTTAGCTATGCAATCAGATTAGTGATAGATAGCTCCAGTGATGGATGGTGTTGGCGCTTCCCTGGGTGGATGACTTCACTTCACCTTTCCCCTCTCCTTTCCTAACACCACCATCACCATAATTGCCTCCTTTGTCTAGAACATTTTCATATGGTTTAGTTTGCATGCACTCCCATACCTTTCCCAGAAGCTCAATTTGAATGAGTATGGGTAAGTATACCTACCTTAGAGGGTAAACTATCAGAAGGCACTGTCATAGTGACAATTAGCAGAGGGCGAATCTGCCATTGTTCAATTCACCAACAATATGGTGAGTCCAGTTTGAAATTATGTTAACCTGAACTGAGCAGTGAATCCCACTGAAGGGATAGGGATGGGGGGGGGAGGACAAATACTGTTAATAAATTCTGCCCATTTTTAGAGCTAATAGACAAAATTCTGTCACCAAAAAAGACATGGGAAGCTGAGCACTGCAATGAGCAACACACAGCAATGCATACACCAATAATTTGACCTCCGGAAGACTTACCCCCCTTCATGATCAGGCCATGTTAAACCCATATTAGGGAACATAATTGGTATTTTCTGAAGAATCTACCTGCTTTCTCTTAAATGCTTATTTTTTGTGAATTTTTTGTGAATTATATAGGATGCAGAATTTTTTCAATACGGCGGTGCGTTACTTTAACTGACAATTGCGTGGTCATGCAACATTGTACATACATGAGA